TCCCCCACCAATCAATCAATCAATCAATCAATCAATCAATCAATCAATCAATCAATCAACCAACCACTCAATCAATCAATCAATCAACCAATTAATCAATCAATCAAATAACAATCAAGATTTATTTATTTATTTATTTATTTATTTATCTATTTCACACACAAAAAACGACCCCCCCGAAAAAAGAAAAAAAAAACTTTTCTTGTTCGAGGGGGTAGGGTCGCGGTTCCGGAACCCCAATCCGAAACCCCCACCCCCAACCCCCTCTTCCCTCGGTCGCTGCAGGTCGCAGCAGACCACGGTCGCCGTGGTCTTAACCGCGGCCACAGACCGCGGTCGTGCCCGCGGTGACCGCGGCCGCTGGTGTTTCATAGTCGTCAGCTCCTGCTCGCCGAGATAAACTACACTGCTGATGAACGCGAGGTTCTCGCAGTAGTTTATGCCGCTCGGCACTGCGTCACTACCTGCACGGGGCACCATTCACAGTGCGCATGGACAACTTTGTTGTCCAGGCTTTTCTGAAAAAGTCGAAGCTCACTCCTCGACAGGCTCGCTGGTGGCACGACCTATCCGAGTTTAGTTTCACCATTGAGCACATCAAAGGTGAGACCAATCGGGTCGCAGATGCCTTATCCCAGCGCCATGACCATAATCTGGAGCAGATCCAACTCGTTGCCATCTCGGTCACCACCGTCCACCACCCGGTGACCGGCGAGTTTCGCACTTAGTGCCACCACTGCCCCGACTATCGTGACATCCATGCGACCCTTCGGAGTGGCAAGCCCGTCCCGAACTACTCTCTCGGGGACAACGGTCTTGTGTACTGGCACAGTTCATAGGGGACCAGAGAGCCTCGTATTTGCATTCCTTTCACTGGACAGCTACGTGTCCGGGCAGTAGCAGAGTTCGATGACCAGTCAGTCGCCGGTCATATGGGCTTCCACAAGACGTTGACCCGTGCGAGCCGCCTGTACGTCTGGCCAAAGCACAATGACTTTATGAAGGATTACGTCGCAGAGTGTCTCACCTGTCAAGAGGTGAACGGTGTGAACCACCTGCCTTATGGTTTGCTCTAGCCTCTTCTTATCCCTAAGGGTCGTTTGCAGTCCATCTCGATGGACTTATCGGTCCTCTTCGTCTTCAACCCCCCGCGGTCATGATGTTATCCTGGTCGTCGTCGACCTCTTTACGAACCGCGCACGCTTTGTTCCGTGCCGCTATGCCAGCAGTGCATGTGAGGTCGTCGACATCGTGTTTGACCGAGTCCTGCGTGACCACGGCTTACTTCTGAGCATCATATGTGACCGTTAACCTCGCTTTACCAGCTGATTCTGACGACTGTTGCACGAGATGCACGGCACCCAGCTTTGCTTCTCCTCGTCTTACCATCCCCAGACTGATGGTCAGACCGAGGTCACGAACACGTCGAACGGGACTCTCGGAGATATTCTCTGAAAGATTGTTCGTGACGACCAATAGTGGGATCTCCATCTTGCCCACGCGGAGATAGCCTACAACCACGTCGTCCCGCCAGCCATAGGGATGTTGCCTTACTATTACGACCTCGGCTATCACCCTCATGTTCCCGAGGACTTCCTTTGATCGTTACAAATGCACCCCGACACGAGTTGTCCCGCGCTGGATGATTGGGTTGCACACATGACGTCGATCACGATGACCGCGCACGAGCACATAGCCGCTTCCCAGACTTGCATGGCCACACGTGCGAACCGATCGAGGATGGATCATCCATTCAAAGTTGGTGATCATGTGTTTGTCGATGCCCGCCATTTACAGCTCGAAGCGGACATGCTTCGCAAGTTCCGGCGTCGCTTTTTTGGGCCATGCCGCATTCTCCAGACCATCGGTTCTGATACGATATCTAGCCCGGTCAGTTTTCGTGTGAAGTTGCCCAACTACCTACGCCAGACTCGTTTGCACGGTGTCTACCATGTCTCCTTACTGCGTCCCTACAGCAGACCATCTGAGCGTTTCGTTGGACGACCATACGAGCGCCCTCCACCCATCATGGTGAACGGCCACGAGGGGTTCCTCGTTTCAAACATCATTGGTCGTCGAGTCACCGAAGACAACCCTCCTCACGTCGGGTATCTCGTACGTTGGAAGGGTTACCCTAATGAGGAGGCTACTTGGGAGCCCCTCGAGCACTTGCAGCACGCTCGCATGTTGGTGTGTGCCTATGACCGTGCTCGTCGTGCTGAGTTGACTGCTCCTCCTCAGCCCACTGACCCTCTTCCTTCTCCCTCGACTGAGGAGACCATTGAAGTCGAGCCTGCTCCATCTGAGGCAGATCTTCAGTAACAACCGGATACTTCTGAGCGTCCACAGCGCACTCGTCGTCGTCCTGCTCGATACGACGATTGACGCTGACTTCTCTTCCCACGTCTTTGACTTCTCAGTACTCCATCCACTCCAGTTTTGCTACTTCAGCTCGTCGACGTTGCGACTCTTCTTCGACGACATTCCAAACTTCTCTTTATGGACGTCATCGGCAACTCCATGGACTTCATCACGATCAGCTCTGCCTACTTCAGACGTCGTCACCCTTTGTATACGCATAGGCATCGGGACCGTAGCGTTGCCCTGGCTTCCCAGCTTACGGATCTAGCTCCGACTTCCCTCACTTTAGGAGTCACTTGCATGATTCTCTTACCCATCACTTTTTCTACCCTCTGCCAACCCTCACGCCCTAGTTAGGTAGCCTTGCATGCTTCATCTAGGTGCGCCCAGTATACCAGGATCCCTTATTCCCTTGCATGGTCAACCCCTTTAGTCGAGCATTACCCGCCCTAATGGTTTATATGTTAGGGTCATTGGTTCTGTCCGCTTCCAGTTCCCTACCCTCATTGAGCCTAATGACATGTGTTTCCCTGTCATTATGTGTGGATGCCCTTAGGAGTTTATCGACCCCTAGGCTGCAATCTCCACCCTCAGAGAGACCATCCCACCCTGTGGTTTGCGACAAACTCCTCCTGTGACATATGGTTGTCTTGTTGTTGCTTTGTTGCTCTCAGACCGAGACTACTTCCTCTAACATTGCTAGGATTTAATTGTTTCTGCTTTTGTTGTTCTTAGGACTTATACACTAGGCAGTTGTTTCCAACATTCTAGGATTTAGTTGTCATTACTTTCTGCTTTCTCAGGACATGTATACGAGTTAGTTGCTTATGCTTTCACTTAGGCCGTTAGCTGTGATATTGCTGTTTTTGTAACATTTTCTATCCTAGGTTGCATCGAATGGACTCAACATGGAGCTTGCTCCACATCCGAGACTACTCGAGTTTTCTTTTTCTTTGGTAGAGTTCCACTTCTCGGCGGAAGCGTGCTTGTATCTAGGCGATCCATCACATACCGAGGATCGTGTAGCAGACCTCTGGTTGGCCTGTGAGCTATGAATACCCCTCGGCGGCGGACAGGCGCGGCCAGGTCCGCGGTCGCGGCCTAGTCCGCAACCCCGCGGACGTCCGCGCGGACGCGCGTCTTCGAGGACGCGTGGCAGCCGGTGGGGAAGGGGGTTGGGGACTCGAGAAGCGCCATGTGGCGGCGCAACCCCAGCCTCACCCCCTCAAGCAAAAAAAAAAGAAAATTGTGGTTGGGGTGGGTAAGGTTGAGAACGGAGAAGGAAGGAATGATACGGTAGACCAGACGAGCAGACTCGTGATGGTTGAATCACCGAAATCAATGACACAGATTAGCAATCACAAAAACGAGAAAAACACACAGACTCCTGATGGTTGAACCGAGAGAGAGAGAGAGAGAGAGAGAGAGAAGAGGGGAGGGCAAGGGAGAAACATAAGCGCAATTTTTTTTTTTAAATGATATAACAAGGAAGCACAAGTCTGCGATCATCCCGACATATGTTTCGGCCGCCGCGCCGTAGCAGCCATCTTCAGGGGAACTGATGCGCTTAGGGAGGGAGGAACATCTAACCTCTTTAAGTAGTAGTAGCCAAGGGTTTGCGCATGTACCATCCACGCACGTTCCGTCATTCGTTCCATTGAAGCAGACAGGGGTAGGCCGATCAGAGTGGAAGCAGTGTGAGGTAGCATAGCGCACAGAGCAGAATCATCATGACAGAGGAACAACTCGCTATACTGGGAAGATATCGCGAGGACAGAGGATATGCCACGCAGGAAGAGACAAGAAAGAGATAGTTGGCATACAGGAGGGGCGATGAGCTAAAGACATGATCGGGTGGGTAGGGTGGGAACCGGGATACCGCGGGAGGAACAAACGGGGAATACATCATGATGGCGGATGCTGAAAAGAATCGCTCCTGGAAGAGAATCGATCTGGGGGAAGAATAAGACGGATAGGCTGAGAGAAGACACATCAGAGGGATGACCGAAGAGGGAAGCAAAAGGAGGGAATTTGCAAAAATGTGTTCTGACTACGCGTCCTACTCGGCGCGTCAGCCCAGCCTGTCCATAGCGGACCCTGTTTGGGGTCGAAAACTGGTTTTCCTAATACCTACGAAACGGTTTGAAAACAGATCCAAACGATCCCTATTTCGTACTTTCCGTCTGAACACATTTCTTACTTATTGCTGTAATCCAATAGGTCCACCCTGAATTTTGCGACAGACCTGGGCCCCAAAACTGGTCTTCTACAGGCCCGCTTACCAGAAGACCCTTCAAACAGGCCTTCGGAGAACCAATCCTCCCAGAAGGTCCAGCAGTCTGTATTTTTGTGCGAAAAATCACCGAGGGACTGTTTAAAAATATGGTTCGGGAAACCTTTAAGCCTCATCTCCCGTCGCATAGAGAGCAAGCACTGACCCACTCCTCTGGAATCGGAGGAGTGAGTCAAAATCCTGTTGAAATGGCACTTCACAAGGCCAATCTTCTGGGCTTTCGGTCCGTAGGAACAGTAGTCCTGTGTCGTTTGGATGAGTGTCGCATCATCTTCCCATACAGAATCTTGGTTCTTCATTCTAGCTTCACACCAGACAGCAGGCGGCGTCGCCTGGCTTTTCACCAGACATCCTAAAAACTCGAGTGTGTTGTTCCTATCATCTGTTCGGACAAGTGCCAGGTTCCGGTTGTAAACAGAGAGAAATTTTGAAAAGATCTCTTTTGCCTTGGTAATGAATTCATCAGAGACTCGAGGTAGTAAAAGAAAGAGGGCGACATCATCCACCAACCTTAAGCCGGAAATCAGTCTCCTGTCACGTCCTAAGGAGCTAAGGAAGGAAAACTCATGGTAGGCACAAAGAAGGCAGGCAAGAGCAGGACTCAAACTCTTCCCCATGGGAATGCCGATAACTTGTCGGATGATGAGATTGGAGACCCTGAAATAAGTGTGATCTAAGTCAAATTTTACGAAATCTACTATCCCAGAGAACGTTAATAGAGTCCATCCCTTCTCGCCATATCCTTTGCCAAGTACAGCACCTTTCCCCAGCTTATTGACTCTGATAGCATTGTGGCCTTTTCCCAAAAAATAGTCACACAGCCACTCCACGGCCGCAACAATGTCATCATGCATTAGTTTCGTGAACATTTCTGTTATGTCGAAACTGGCGGATAATAGCAAACCATCATGCATCATTTGTAGCTTACGGTCGAGCTTGTCAATATGTTCCTTCATCTTCACAGTACTTCTCAGATTGAAGTGGCAAGTCTCTGGAATCCGCCACAACAATTTGTTAATTGCTTTGGATACCAACTTACATGCTCTAACACTCGGCTCAGAGTACGAGGGCGCGATAGGCCGCCATCTACTGGTGTCCTCATGCTTCGGAATTCCATACACTGATCCTAAACCACCTCGTTTGTTCCATGGTGCAACTTTCAGAGCGCCTATACGGCAGTAGCTTTCCTTACATACGTCCAAGATAACCTGTTCGGACCGGTTATCAACCACGAAACCACCATTCCCCCAATAGAGATTCTTGAGAGCATTGTGATAGATAAGGGCGCAACAAACGTAGGAATCTCCCAAATTATGGTCGATAGGAGAAATAACCAATCCTTTGAGTCTATGCTTCCATTCCCCTATTAGATCCTCGTCAGCCATCTCTGGATAGGAGGTATGGACAAAACAACATTCAAGATCTTTAAAACTACCCACCCAGTTCTCCTTACTGGGAACATTGGCTAGACCCTCAACAAGAGATCTTTTCAACCTCCCTACAGAGGTAGGTAACTAAGGGCGGGGAACATTCTTGTTGTTTTGTAACAGAAGAGGGACTGGAAAATCGGAAAAGCGAAAGGAGACATGCCCACCCTTGTCCGTAGGAAGCTCATCATCACATTCCAAACACGAGCATTCATGCACAGAAGAACGGGCGCTCAACCGGTGGTTGTGGAGCCAATCAGCCACAGACTTGCAACTAGTCCAGACAATCCTAATTCTTGAGATGATAAATTCAGACAGAACATCATTAGACCAGCGTCTCCGAACAATGCGTTTAACCAGGTCCATCACTCGAGATTTTCTGATACGATCGTCGAAGGTAACCTTCACAACGACAGTGGCCAAACATCTGAAGCCACTAGCCGCTGTGAGGGCTCTTCCTACCACCCCTTTCAAGATAGTCCTGGACCGTTCCTTGTGAAAGAGCTCAATGCTATTATACAGCGTGACCAGACTCGTCAAGCCATTCTTGTACGTCCCTACCCTGGTATGCGAAACCTGCAGCAACGTGGCCAATATATCACGCTTGAGGATCCGGAGGCTGCCCCTTCTCCGCAGCCTCAAAACACAAAACACACCGCCTGAACAAAAATCTGACTTAAGTTCTTTCAGAACCTCCTTCCGTCCATCGACTTCAATGATAGACCATCCAAACAGTCGGCGCAGCTTACAGAACGAATCAAAAAACCAATCCCCACCCGAGCACTTAATATTGACATGCAAATTACCTTCATCGTATAATTTATTCAAAATACCAACAATAGAGAAGGAAGGAGACCGAGGGATCCAAGGGTCGGGAACTGGGAGGGAAACAGAGCGAACATCCCATGTGATAATCTTTCCTCCGTTCGAGCCGTGCCCCACAAACCCGGCCCTTGCTTTCTGAAAAGCGATCCGTTCCCTCCGACCCTTCCTTCGACATGGGGACCTCTTCTTCTTTACGCAGTTCAACACAGGAGACCACTTGGCAATGATAGCAGACTCTACGTTACGAATCTCAACATCAGGGGGAAGGGAAATCGGAATGGCAACGTAACTAGACCAATCCACCCGTTGAAACCATTTTCTAACCTTATGATTTCTGCCATCCCTCGTTTGTAACGACCTTCGAACATGCTCCTCCCACCTCACCTTCAGAGATCGTGATGTAGACCCTATATAGGATGCTCTATACCATGGAGAAAGAAGAACGTACACGCAAGGTCCGTCATACCCACATATATCGATTTTGTTAGCTAAGGATTCTCTCCAAAAATCTACAAACTTATCACCCCAACGCATGTGCCCAGAAAGGACAAGGGATAGGACGAGAAAAACCGTAAGCTGATGCAGGTCAAATGCTTCCTTACCATGCCAACCGATCCTCTTTCGCTCAGATCTAGTTCTTTCGAGTGCAGCCCAGGAGGAACGGACATCAACAGACCATTAAGAAGGGCTCTCTTCCTGAATGTCCTCCTCAGAGTCTTCCTGCTCTTCCTCATCTTCATACTCACCGTAAGCTTCTATAGCACGCAGTCGTGCCAGCGTGGCGCTAGTAATCTTCTTGTTAACATACTTGATCTTGTCCTTCTTGCAAAGCTCCTCTAGCTCATGCTTGGTTTTCCCAAACAACACTTCGGTCAGCTCTTTCACATACTTTTTCCTTCCTTCCTTACCGGGCCCGGACACTGCTGCTTTCTTCCCACGGTTAATACGATCAAACCCCATCTCCTGTGGGGGTGGTTCCTCTCCGATTGTAATGTTGGACGCACGCCTTTTGCCGCCATTCCCGGCTACAGAGGCGAACATCCCTGCTAGCCTGGTCGAGAATCCGCTCGTGGGAGTATCAGAATGGTCCGTTCGAACCCTGGAGGGACCAGGTTCAGTTGCTGCCGTTCGTCTAGTGGGGGCAGGCGGAGGAGGATCAGATGGAGTGGCAATGGGAGCAGGTGTCCCGAGGGCAGCAGGGGGGTGAGCAAGGGGGGGGGGAGGGGGGGGGGGGGGGGGAGGGGGAGGGGGGGGGGGGGGGGGGGGGGGGGGGGGGGGGGGGGGGGGGGGGGGAGACGCAGACCAGGAGGACAAGACAGAAAAATCGGGAGAATCGGTCACACCACAGGCACCGATAGTAGCAGAAAGAATTGAAAGAGGAAGGTCAATAATCAGACGAAGGTGGAGAAAGAAACAGGTGACAGCGGGCCCACCTAAGAGTTCCTCATCAGCAGAATGTTTCCTGGTCCCGGCCTTTTCGTCAACAACGGCTGAGTCGACACGGATAAAGAATGCCTATCATCCGGAGCCAATATGGCAAGCACAATCAACAGGAACACAGGACAGATCGGGGATCATGCAGCAGCGGGAGTGTTCCCCGATGGGGAGCATTGGGCACGGGCCACAGTATTGGCTGAGAGGGAAGGGCAAAAGGGATGTCTCACCGTCTCCGTCGGCCCCTCTACCCCCTAAGGATCCGAGCTTCGGTCTCCCGTTGGCAATGGGGATAAGCGCTAGCAGCCGAGAAATGGAGGACACCTCAGAGTCCTCTAAAATGGGAGAATCAAACAGTGGTGAGAGCTCGGAAGACAAACAGGACGAACAGTTGGAAATGGAAGAACAAATGGAAGACAAATCGGGCGAAACAACAAAATAAAAGGGTCGGGAGACAGAGAAGGATCAATCAAAATAACAGTCAGATAAAGCTGCTTCGACATCGGAACCGGGGCAGGCCAGAGTGCACATTGGGGGAGATCATTCAGAATCAGCAGGAGGCGATAAGCAGCAACAAGACCCGCTGCACCCAATAGTAGAGCTGGCAAGGCAGGAGCGGGTAGAGACCAAACTGAAAGACATTATACAGACAGGGGAATGTCCCGTGTGTCCCATTGTTCTATGGCGGGCACCGGAGGAAATCAAGCTGCTACTAGAGGGGGTGGCAAGCATACCAACCTTCACTGTGAACAAGCTGCCGCACGAACAGCAAGTGCTGAAACAGGTGGCGAAGTGGGTGGGCCCGGAATACAAACTTATGTCACTGCCCCGACCACCAGGTTTGTCAGAAGGACGGCCAAAGGACAAGAATATGTAGTGATAGCCTTTTCTCTGGAGGCAATACCTACAAGGCCAGGAGCCCCAAGGCTGAAGGATAGAAGTGTGCAATGGACGAGGTTTTTGCAGAGGCATTCGGACCCACGGCTCTCTCTCTAGACTTCGACAGGGTGAATACTACTGCTCTGGTCATACTCAACAATGTGAATGCAAGATTACCGTAGGAGGAGCAAGTAGGAGGTGGGCAGTTTCAACAGGGTGTGGGGGCATGGGAGAGGGGGCAGTAAGGGGTTATTATCTTGCAAGGGTGTCACGAGCAAGATGACACCCCCCCAACAATAAAAATTAGATGAAAGTAGAGAGAGAGGAAGAGTAATCTAGGAGCAATAGAAGGTGGGGCCATCGGAGAGGCGGGGTAGAGGGAAGGTAGGAAGGCTGCAAAGGAGGAAGGGCGGCGAGGCAGCAGCTGGGATGTGGCTACGAAGGAGAGGCAACCGGCTGAAACTGATGGCATTAAATGTGAGGGCGATGGGTGCTAAATCACTTTTCCCCAAGCGGAGGGAGTTGGGCCGGCTGGCAAAGAAAGTGAGAGCGGAGCAAATTGTCGTGGCATGCCTGCAGAAGACCAAGCTGAACGAAGCACGAACAGAGGCACCGATGCTGTGGCGGAAGGGGCACCAAGTGTGGGCCCCGACGCAGGGCACGAGAGTAGGGGTGTGCATATTAGTATCCCACCACGTCAGGGGGGAAGTGACGGATTGGTATCATGATTCCAAGGGTACGTGGGCATGGGTCTTACTAAACTGAAAAAAAAAAAAAAGAAAAAAAAAAAGGGTCTTACTAAACTGGGGCCAGGAAACGTGGGGAGTGGTCACAATCTATGGACCGTTCGAAGGAAGGGAGGGAGCGTAAACGGATGTGGGAACGACTTCCGGCACTGGTGCCAGGCGTACACTATCTCGTTATTGCAGGTGACTTCAACTTGGTGGCGCATCCAAGGCTAGACCAGGGCAAACACCAGGCATTTAGACACAGACTCGCTTGCACTCATTCACGGGATGATGGGGCTCGGCTGTTCCGACGCATATAGGGTCATGTAACCACAAGAGAAGGCCTATACATTCTGGGGAACACACAGCCACTGTGAGGAGTAGAATTGATATGATATGTTCCTCGACACGCCTCGACGAAAGAATGCAGATACAGGTCAGCCCAATGGCCACTTCGGATCACTACGCGGTGATGACAACCTTTCCTGTAGGAAGAATGGAGGTTGCTCAACCCCCCAGGTAGATCCTGGCATGGGTGTTCAAGAGCGAGGAATGTCGGCTGATGGTGCTGCACTTTTGGGAGGACTGGGCGAACGAATGCCCCTAGGACAACTTGCTAAACCACGTGATGACAGCAATACACAACCTCAGAGAGGACTTGGTCAGGCAACTGCAAGGCAGTTATTTTGCACAACGGAGAACGGGCGAGGAATATGCGCACAGGATGGAGGAGCTCGATGCTGGTCCCGGAGGAGAGCAAACGGAAGAAGAATGGTGGGCGGAACGAGCGGAGGCGGCTCGAGAGTGGAGAGAGTGGCAAGGAGACCAGGTTAACGGAGACCCTAATTTTCAGACCACTTGCCATGCCATTTACCAAAGGGTCATTTTAATCAAACTTGCCAGTCTTGCCACCAATTCATAGAATGGAGACCATACTAACTAACTGCAAAAAA